TAAACTCTTTCTACCTGGTTTTCAATACGCTTTATACACTTACATATCATGAAATTTATCACCCTTAGTAACAAGCCCATAGGAAAAAAAGAAACACTGCTATAAAAAAAGTTCTTTTTTTTTAAATTATCAAACATTTAGTAGACAATTGTTGTGATATTAATCTCTAAGTGTCATTGGATGTCGTTCTAAACAATAAATAATAGGTTCAAAATACGCTTCATTAGTTTTAACCTTCACAGGTAAAATGATATTCACTGTGTGTTGTAATGATTCAAGTGAACTTGTAAGTTTTACTTGATGTCAGATTTTGCTTTGATACGTTTTCCTTCATTTAGTAACTTCGATCTATTACAACAAAGAAAAACAAAAGAAAAAAACATTTTATATTAGGTGCTATATTTTGTTTGTTTTAATGGTTTGGTTTGAATTTCGCGCAAAGCTACACGATGGTTATCTGTGCTATTTATTCGTTGATAAAAGAATAACCCCAGAGTTGACGGTTGGTGGCGTTGACTAACTGCTTTCTCTTTAGTTAGTTTGTTTGTTTTTTTAATTAGGCACAAAACTACACAAGGGTTATCTGTGCTCTGCCCATCACGGGTATCGGGAAGGAACAACTTGTCAAAAAAATACGGGAAACATCTCGTGAAATACACGAGAGAAAACAAGAAATGTGTTAATATAAACGTCAATGGCATGTCGTGTCTAAACCGTCAGAAGAACCGTTGTATTTCTGTGATAATGTGAACACTCCTCTATTCTCTTGTTGATAAAGTGACTTTGTCAGGAGTGACAACAAAATCATGTTCTGTACAATACTTGTACATACATTTTGTGTGTTTTGTTTTATTTGATAGGGGAAGATTGTTAGTTTGGTTTTGGTTTTGAATTTCGGGCAAAGCTACTCGAGGGCTATCTGCATTAGTAGTCCCTGATTTAACAGTGAAAGGCTAGAGAGAAGCTCCCCAGTGGCACAGCGGCATGTCTGCGGACTTACAATGCTAGAAACCGGGTTTTTTTTGTTTTACACGTGGTTCTTAGGGAAGCTGTGTCAGTCGTATGATGAAAAGATTAACAAACATGGTTCAAAGAAAGTTCTGGTCTCGCATATTTAATTTGTCTTGATGTTATGGTTATAAACGCTGAAAGCTGACGAAGCAAGGAAGCCAACGGGCCTAATATTAGCGACAAATATCACAGTGAAGCCATTTTGAGTCTAGAAGCAGCGTATGGTATATTTAATATGAAGCTTGGTAAATGTTAGGCGATCATAAAACTCTTGAGTTAGACTGGGTATCTTTGCTTTGAAGGCCAGACAGAAAGTGTGTCGTTTTAGGACCATAAGTCTCTCATAAAATCAAGAAGCAGTTATCCATGACCAGTATAACCAATATAACTAAATGTGGTACAATTACTACATTTGATACGTCTGAGCAGGTTCCTTGAAAATATCTTTATGTTCACTCTTTCCGTTTCTATTCCAGGACAAAACTTTATTCAAAATATTATTTTATATACAGTGCAAAGCATTTAATGTTACGATTTTAAACACCGGAAACTGGCGAAGCAATCAACTCAATAGGCCTAGTATTAGAGACACAAATCACACTGAAATGCTCACATTTATTTTTACATTCTCCTTGACCAATTCATCGCGAATATCAAATCAAAGGTGTTTAGAACAACGTTTTCAAATGCGTTTTTAGACCGTAATATTAAATGTTCTGTATCGCATATAAAATAGCATTATAATCAAGCATTACAAGTAATAATGGTATACTAATTACCCATACTCATTACTGGGTTCATATTTAGTCCTGATTTATGTTGGTAGCTGGATTTCACCAGAAGTTAATGATAACAGATAAAATCACATTAAAAGTATAGGATTAAATGTTACTACTTCCGACAGATGGCGCTGTCCTCATCAAAGTTTATTTGTCGGAAATCCTAAGATTTAACTTAACTTTTTTAATGTTATTAACCAAATATTTTAACCCTACAGGTTTTTTTTGAAACTATAAAGACTAACAGATATATATATATTTAAGATCAATTAATATTGCGAAGACACAAATATACATATAGTTTGATGTAAAGTTTTGCTACTAATAAACCATTCTCAGTTTATATATCGTAAAATATTTCAAATGGGTGTTCTTTTACTGTAAACATTTTCAGAACTAATTATTCTAAGTCTTCAACAAGCACGAATATGATACTATAAATGAGTGATTATTGAGCTAAAATGAGTGATTATTTACATTATATTTATATATATATGTTTATGACTCAACAACTAAAATTCCTTTTAATCTCATTATCTAAGTCGAGTAATCTAATTAGAAACTTATCAGCTCCAGTAATCATTGTCCTACTTCGAATATTTAAACTCGTAGTTATTTAACCAATATGCTAATTTTCATTTTCCGTTATCATTTTTAGAGTTCAAGTAATAGAAACTTCAAAATGATGCTTGATAAACCTTTCCAGCTAGATGGCGCAGAGATCAACCGAAGTGAAATAAGATCCCTCGTTTCTGAAATATACAAAGTATTTCCCAGATTGCACACCTGCTGTAAAATTACTGGCAGTACAGATTTCTACCGTGCCAAAAAATAGACAGTTTGATTGACACACACACACACACACTTACACAAACTAGTATACCCGCGGAAGAAGTTAGACCCTCCCCATCGATCTTAAAAGTTATATTACACTGTGGGGTATAGTTCTGTGAGCTGTGCTTTAAATGATTGGCCAGTATGCTCGAAAATGCAGTAGAAGGAAGAAAAGAAATCACAAACGAGCCCGAGGTTTGCCTTCTGCGAAAACGCTGTTCTCGTACACTAGATGGTTTATGGAAAGCATGAAGGGAGTAATGTTGTGCATTTGACGTGACAGCCTAACGAAGTCTTTTGTAGTAGGAACTAACGGTTTACAGTTATTTTAAAGATGCACACCTGTCAGACGGAGCACGATCAGACGTGGCGACATAGACTGTAACGACATTGTGAGGCTCCAAAATTAGAACGTCTTTAATAAATTTAGCAAGCCTAGTTACTGTAAGAGTTTGACGAGAAGAAACAAAATTCCAAAAAAATCTTACAGTGAATGATCTAAATACAAATTACACAGATTACATATCATGGAGACTGTACTGGCTTTAGCATTACAGTAAACCTTCAGAATCAACCACTTGATACATCATCTCTATAAAGCAGGGAATGAGCATGTAATTATAAACTGGAACATTAACAAAATATAAATACATGCGAATAATCCAAGTATTAGTTTTTGCCAAAATACGTGTTTATTACGTTTTTTTTTGGTGTAAACTTAACCAATAGTCCCTAGGGGGTCGTCAAGAAACTCAAATAAAATCGTTTTGGTATACAATTCTGTTTAGAGGGTTCTGTGCTAGAATTCAAATAAATAAGAATTAATATGTTATTAATTAATTAATTAATATGTTATTAATCAAATTGCTTCTTCATTCAAAAACGTAGTAAGATTGTGAAGTGTGACATGTGAAAGTTTAGAGTTTTTTTATATATATTGTGATTATTTGCATCAGTAATAGCAGGATACTATACCACAAAATACTCTGTACTATACACAATTATACTCCGTCGCGCCCCCTATTGACACAGCGGTATGTCTGCGAACTTACAACGCCAGAAACAAGCATTATTTATGTATCACCGGCCCAAATTTTACCTGCCTCAGTTTTGAACAGATGGAACCACTCGGATCAGCACGTGGTGGAAACGAATCATCCTTACTATAGGGTGGTTTTTAAAGTGTTGTTTTATATACAGTACTTGACTTTTGTGTAATGAAATGCTCTAATTTATTAGTATTGTTATGTTTACGTATGTTCTAATGAAATGCTCTAATTTATTAATATTGTTATGTTTACGTATGTTCTAATGAAATGCTCTAATTTATTAATATTGTTATGTTTACGTATATTATAATGAAATGCTCTAATTTAATAATATTGTTATGTTTACGTATATTGTAATGAAATGCTCTAATTTATTAATATTGTTATGTTTACGCATATTGTAATGAAATGCTCTAATTTATTAGTATTGTTATGTTTACGTATGTTCTAATGAAATGCTCTAATTTATTAGTATTGTTATGTTTACGTATGTTCTAATGAAATGCTCTAATTTATTAATATTGTTATGTTTACGTATATTATAATGAAATGCTCTAATTTAATAATATTGTTATGTTTACGTATATTGTAATGAAATGCTCTAATTTATTAATATTGTTATGTTTACGCATATTGTAATGAAATGCTCTAATTTATTAATATTGTTATGTTTACGTATATTGTAATGAAATGCTCTAATTTATTAATATTGTTATGTTTACGTATATTCTAATGAAATGCTCTAATTTATTAGTATTATTATGTTTACGTATATTGCATAAAAAAGGCTCTTCTTCATTCAACACATTTATGTTCTATTTTGTTAGCCCACAACTGAACTTAACGTTGAACCAATCAGACACCAGAATTATGCTCAACAGAACACAGGCTGTGTTATTTTTACCACAAGTTGTTCACAGTAGAATAATTACACTGTAAAAACAAGTTTAAAATATTACATGCTCTGTAGTATTTCAATTCTCCGTAGTGCACTGCTATCGTTTTCAATAACTGTTTAATTCATCTTTATTTAATTACGTTCTATCATAGACAAGTCTACAAAGACAGCCTGGACCATAATTTCAGCAATTAAAAATCAAAAATAGTTTATTATTATTTCTGCAATAACCTTACTCTTGTAAATAATGATATTCAGCTTTGTGTATAACATTAGTTCAGAAGAAGTTTCTAGTTACACACACAGAGACAAACTGTATAGCCAATTTTAGGTAAAGAATTTCAAAGCTTGGAAAAGACGAATTAAATATAAAATAACATTTAACTGTAAGGTAAACTAAATTAGAGAAAAAAAAAACTTTTCATTTACCACTTATGTCAGTACATATGGCATTCACCCCGCCGTAAAGAGTGATGAGAAAGATCAGATCACCGGTACTATTGTTCATCTTTTGTTGACTGTAGACCGAGGAGGAGACCCCTTTAACGATTTTAGAGACGCCATCTTCGGACGTGTCGACGCGGGCCAGTCGTTTGCTCACCCATCTTAAACTATGTTGACTGCTATTAGCGACACGTTCTACCTGATCCCGTACGAAAGTCACGGTCTCCCAGTGATTTGTGAGGAGCGCGATGGACAGGCATGCCGTCGCCGCCACGGTGGACACCAGCGTGGCGCCGGTGAAAATGGAAGTAAAGGAGTAGCACGAGCCTCGATGTTGTTTTCGTTTGGAGCTATTTTCCATTACCGACTGTCCCAAGTCCTTGGTGCCAACCTGACGAACTTCGGGACTTTTCGGAAATAGAATAGGTGTTTTTCGCTTGATCAGATATCGAATCAAGTCCATGAGGATCAGAGATACGTAACATGCCGTCCCGGAGTTTACATTTAGAACTATAGTTTTGTGTGAGGCGGTAAAAAACGCTTATAGGGCTGGATTCGTACAACGAGATAACACGAGACTTACATATTAGCAAGATATATTACTGAGGTACTTTGAGAGGCTTCTGTGATGTGATCCAATCACACACAACTTATTTCTGGTCGTGATTTTCACTTCTACCAAAGTTTTATGTGTGTGCGCAGATTACGCGCGTGTTAGCTGTGAAACCTTGAAAGACCATCAGAACGAGGCTGTAGTTAATACACTCTTGTCCGAGATACAAGATATATTATTATGTCTGAGATATATATGCTATGTTAAAAAAAGGTGCGACTTGAAATAAAAACCCATTTCGTGAATGACAGTTACCACATCAAGTATCCATTTGGAACTCCAATAGACTTCTGTGCTTTTCGTCTTCATAAAGGTTATCAAGGGAACCAATGTTCAGTGTGCACGAGACAACATAGTTATCCTTATAAACTGATTAACTAGAGATTACGTATTGTCTAATTGTAAACATTTAATTATTTCCAGAAATGTACACGAAAGAAGAGTGGTTAAATAGGCTTCACCTGCAGCACATGTTCATAGCTGAATAACTGATGCCACCTATAGCTCGTGGAAAAACTACAAAAGATCACGTGAAAATCCAATTTATAATGAAAAGGTTTCCATCGAGTAATAAAATAATCTGGTTGTGTAAAGCTGCATCTCCCAATTATCATGTTAGGATTTTAAATATTCTTAGGTTTCTCACTGTGTTACTTTTTTCAAGGCTGTAAGGGGTACATTATAAGGGTAACTTCAAAAATATACCTACGATATTCTTTCAGGTTAAGTCCACAAGAGACAATTAGAGTGATCTCAGCACGTCTGTTATTAGTGTGATCAAATATATCGCTCCGCCATACGTCTGTTATAAGTGTGATAAAAAATATCGTTCCGCCACACGTCCGTTATTAGTGTGATCAAATATATCGCTCCGTCACACGTCTGTTATTAGTGTGATCAAATATATCGCTCCGCCACACGTCTGTTATAAGTGTGATCAAATATATCGTTCCGCCACACGTCCGTTATTAGTGTGATCAAAGATATCGCTCCGCCACACGTCTGTTATAAGTGTGGTCAGAGATATCGCTCCGCCACACGTCTGTTATAAGTGTGATCAGAGATATCACTCCGCCTTGCTTCCTGTTTATATCAAGCTGCAGTAACTCAACTTCCAGTTTACACTTTTAGAATCATCCTTATAGATTGAAACTGGTGTTGTGGATATTAAGTTGAATTATCTTAATCTTTTTGCTTCTGGGGCTGACTTAGTGTATTATCTATATTTTGACTGAAAGACGATACCTCACTTCCGTATACATAGTAAGCCTGTACCAACTCATAATTGTAAACTAAATGTTCTTCCGCAGGGTCCCCGAAAGTATTCTGTTTCAAGAGTAAATAAAAACAAAAATTAAGAATAACAAATATTTTTATTTCTTGGTTTTCAAGTTCATATGTCATGCAGTGTTGTAGCCTACAGAGTGCATAATTCTTCTCTCTCGTGATTCACGGCACGCGGACGTTTTACTGACTTCACGACAGTATAAATTGCAACGTTAAGCATCCCTTATGTAATGTCATTTTAGTGTCTACTGTCTGACTGACAGACAATGCGCTACTGTATGGTCGGGTGAGTGGTTAAAACAGGTGACTCCTCCAGGCGGCTTTCAGCCCCCTTTCGGGGAAATTAAGAAGCTTAATGGTACGTTTAACTAGATTATTTCAGTATCACCAGAGGCCTAGTTTAGAGGAACATTTATTGTTTATCTCTGATTAGTTGAACTTATCAGATATTTAGGGATGTTCAGACATTACATTAACTACGTCAGTAATTGTTACTCTACAGTCTAATACTCTACAACAACTGCAAGAAACTAATACTCTACAAACACTACAAGTAGTTAGTATTCTAGTATCATTATATATGGTTATTAGATTGCTTTTACTTCGTCAATTACTACTAATTACAATTACAACTACTACAAGTAGTTAGTATTCTAGTATCATTACATATAGTTATTACATTACAATTACTTCGTCAATTACTACTAATTACAATTACAACTACTACAAGTAGTTAGTACTCTAGTATCATTACATATAGTTATTAGATTACAATTACTTCGTCAATTACTACTAATTACAATTACAACTACTACAAGTAGTTAGTACTCTAGTATCATTACATATAGTTATTAGATTACAG